ACGTTTCTCAGAAAATTTTTGAAAAACAATTGATTTAAGGGATTGTAAGTGTCCTTGCTTACACGTCTTTGTGTGTCTGTGTGTGTGAAACAAAGTGTCTGAGAAAGAAGCCATAAGACTGAAGGCATGGAATAATTGTTAAAGCACCCATTATCTTTTTTAGCCCTCAGCCTGTCAGGCTCAATTACAGGCATGAAAATTTGCTCTTTAAAAAAATGATGTGACAGAGACACATGGGCAGTATTTAAACGAGCCACTTAACCTGACACTTCCAAATGCTTCCTATTGAAACAAAGCATTCCTCTTTAATAAACTCCATCTATTTCAACATTAGACAAAAGGAGTGCTTTCAACTTAAACCTCTCCATAGGAACTGAGCCATCTGTGATCAATGAGAGGTCGCAGTGAGACAGCACTTTGTGAATGGCATCAGGTAAGGGTGGGACAAGCTTCCTACTGCAGGCATTTCAAACCAGGCTCCATTAGCAGGTTGACTCAGATCTCCTTAGGCAAGGGAACAGGATCCATATTCTTCCACCTGTCTCCATGGCGATTTGAAAATGGTAGGCAAGATGGCCAACGGCCACAGGGGAAACCAGCCACAGTTCCATCCTGACCAAAGAGGCAGAAATATTCTGAGTCAGAAGAATGAGATTTATTTTGAACCAACATGATAACCTGGTGGAGGTTTAAGAGAAGAGAAAAGAGAAGGGAGAGGACCCCAAAGTATTAAGGCTACTTACTCTGTGCTTTCTATTTAACATTGTAAATCTATTTATTTATTTATTTATTTTTACTCCTCAGGCTCTTTATGTATAGATGAGGAGAAGCACAGAAACAGCATAACTAAACAAGATTAGGAGATACTACGCCTAAAATGAAACTTTCACAGCCTGGATTAAACAATAGTTTCTGAACAAATATGGAACTTGCCCATAGATTAGTCCAAGCAGGAATACCCTCAGCGTGAAGAGTTGCAGTATTTAACACACTGCAGCAAAGCAAACAGAGTCTCTCTGTACCTTAAAAGTGAGTTAGTTTATCTGAAGAAATGAGCTGTAATTCAGAAAAACTTATGCTAGACTGAACTTTTTTGCCTTTAAGATGTCACAAGACCCTTTCTTGATTTCACCTTCAGAATAACATGGCGGCTGTTCTGCTTTTACAAGTAAGAGGAGCAGTGACTAGGCTGTTGTCTTCAAGACTTGTACAGAAGGCAGTGTGAAGAAACAGAATATTGAATGTGTGCACAAGAGTGCAAAAGAAAGCACAAATGAGACACACTCACAGTTCAGGGGCATAATCGGTTAAGGGAATGCCAAGAAGTATATTACACTGAATTTATACAACATTTGATGACAGTGCCACCAGAAAGTCATGGACCGAGGCAGAGCGGGCCCTATCATTAGACAAAGTGAGTTAGTTGCAAAAGTAAGAAGTGCAAAAGTGTGTGTGTGGAGGGAGCTGTGTGTGTCACACTGTTTATTTTGTACCTTCTACATTACGCAGCTGGGTTATTGTGAGGAAATGGAAGGAAACTGGGACCTGTAGTCATACAAAGATGGAGTCTTGTTAGGTTCTCTGTAAGATGGATTTAAATGCAATGACATGTTCTCATGAGACTGTTGTTAGAATTGTGCTGCCAGGCACAAAGATAAGGAGCAAGGCCAAGGAGGCCCAGAGAAGACCAAACAGGGCGTAAGATAAGGCACCTGGGCCTGGATCTTCTCAGGTGAAATGTGGGCGGTGAACTGTGTTACACCCACTTGATCTTAATCAGATAACAACTTGGAGGTGTCATAAAGAAAGTGGTCCAAGACATGTAGAAATGGAGGGTTTGTGTATGTGATTGATGTTTGTTTGTTGTTGGTGTGTGGAATATGAGAGGAGAGAGGTTCATTTTGTTTGAAGGAGAAGATGGGAGAGAAATAGCCCTGCTTCTCTAGTGTGCTAACATGGAGAGAGAGAGAAACGATTACTTAGCCTAGTCTTAGCTGTTCATTATTTTACTTAGAAATAGTAAGCTTATTTAAACATAGTAACAAATGGATATGTTCACTGCTTTATGCTTAAGGGTACAACTGTATTCTAATGAAACTACTTTATTTCCTTAATAAAACCATTATTCTTCAATGGAGGACCGGTCTCTTGAGCAAACAGGGTTGCACCTAAATCCAGTTGGGATTTGATAAGGTCACCAATTGCTACTACGTATAACAGAGAGGTCCTATCGACCAAGTCAGTGTGTTGTGTATTCTAAGGAAACATACAGTCAATGATTTACTGCCTTGTAAGCAACAGTCAACGATTTACTGCCTTGTAAACAGGCAGGAGTTTTCTTTCAGGTCAGGCTTGTCCATGGAAGCATTTGCTACACACCTCTGAGGCCTAAAGGGCCTACCTCAGGCAATAAAGGTGGTAGTTGTTGTGGGTTTTCCGGGCTGTTTGGCCGTGTTTTTAAGGTTAAAACCTTAAGAACACATCCAAACAGCCCAGAAAACCCACAGCAACCATCAGATCTCAACCGTAAAAGCCCTTGAGAATACCAAAGGATATATTCATTGCTTTATGCTTAAAGCTGCAACTGTATTCTAATGAAACTACTTTATTTCCTTAATAAAACCATTATTCTTCAATGGAGGACCGGTCTCTTGAGCAAACAGGGTTGCACCTAAATCCAGTTGGGATTTGATAAGGTCACCAATTGCTACTACGTATAACAGAGAGGTCCTATCGACCAAGTCAGTGTGTTGTGTATTCTAAGGAAACATACAGTCAATGATTTACTGCCTTGTAAGCAGGCAGGAGTTTTCTTTCAGGTCAGGCTTGTCCATGGAAGCATTTGCTACACACCTCTGAGGCCTAAAGGGCCTACCTCAGGCAATAAAGGTGGTAGTTGTTGTGGGTTTTCCGGGCTGTTTGGCCGTGTTTTTAAGGTTAAAACCTTAAGAACACATCCAAACAGCCCAGAAAACCCACAGCTACCATCAGATCTCAACCGTAAAAGCCCTCGAGAATACCAAAGGATATATTCATTGCTTTATGCTTAAAGCTACAACTGTATTCTAATGAAACTACTTTATTTCCTTAATAAACCTATTATTCTTCAATGGAAGAACGAGTCCTCCAGGTGGTAGTATTGCATCCACATTTTCTCCTTGGGAGAAGTGATTGTCACAGTTATTAAGTCAGGTTACTAGCTAGAGAAGACTCCTTGGAAAAGCCCTTGATGTTAGGAAAGTGTGACGGCAAGAGGAGAAGGGGACGACAGAGGATGAGATGGTTGGACAGTGTCATCGAAGCTACCAACATGAATTTGACACGACTCCGGGAGGCAGTGGAAGACAGGAGGGCCTGGCGTGCTCTGGTCCATGGGAAGATAGAAGGGCCTGGCATGCTCTGGTCCATTGTGTCACAAAGAGTCAGACACGACTAAACGACGACGACTAGCTACTTATCAGGGTGGTGGAAGATCTAGATATCCTCAAGGGAATCTCATTGTTCAAGAAACACCAATAGGATTAGTGTTTTCAGGGGATGACAATATGGAAGTTGTTTCATAAAGATATAAAACTGTGCCATATTCACAGTTCTATCAAAACTGTGGGAGGAAAGCAGACACTCCACTCCATTCCACACGTTACTGCCAAATGTGTAAAGACCGTCTAGTCCAACCTGCTGCAATCAGTGGTGGAACTGTGGGGGCTGCCCAGATCCATCAGATTGCACACCTCAATGGAAGCAGTAGCTCGGCCATGTCTGGAGGGCACAGCTCCCCAGTAACAGTTTACAGCACCGGAACTCTTACATTTTTATTGGAGAACCTGATTGCCCTGCGATTTAAGAGGCAATTGAAACAAAGTGTCAGGTGATAGCACCTTTGTGCTCCAATCCTACACCTCTCCTGGCTGGCTGACTAGGGAGGGTCAGCAGGACTTAAAACCTCTTCCCAAAGATAACCTGTCTTCCACCTTGACTCCAACTGAAAGCAAAACTCTCAGGAATGTGTTTGGCTTGTTCGAAGGCCCGTCTGTCTAGTTGCCATTTCTGTTTCTTCCTCTCTGAGATGTCTTAAGGATGATGGGATCTGCAGTTTAGCACACCTGGAAGACAGGAGGTTGGGAAGGGCTGATCCCACTTGCTCACCACTGGCAGGAGAACATCGGAGGACTTTGCATCAGGTCATGGGTTGAGAATGGGGGAGTGGGGGAGAGGTGGGCATTGGGGGGGGCTCTCTCTCTCCCTGCTCCTCATTAGAAACGCAAGAGAAACTTTAACCCTTGCAAGACGCGGCCGCGTTCTCCTCCGTGGACGGCGGGCCTTTCCAGCCGTGAAAGTCGTCATTTTAGCAAAGTTCCTCTCTCATTAGAAAAACGACCTGGCAGGGATGGCGGGAAAGGAGCAGCCCCGTCGGGGAAGTCCTGAAAACCGCACCACGGGTAATGCTTTGCCTGCTTTAGCTACCCGTTTTTCTACACTGCAGACGCCGAACTCGTAATTTAACCCGCGATGAAGACTCCAGGCGGAGGCTGTTATTTTTTTTTTTTTAAATAAAATAAATGAACGGATCAGTTACATAACAAAGTACCATCTTCCGTTCTTGGCTCCGTGGCCGCAGCGTTCCATGGCGTGGTGGCAGAAATCGGTGCAATCCGATCCCCTCGCGTGCGCGCACATACACACGTGTGTGTTTGTGCGTGGGGAAGGGGGGGTCGAGCGTGCCTGCCAGAGGCCGACTGTTGCGAACCTTGACAGCGGCTCCGCACAACAAACGCACCGCGAGGAGAGAGAGACTCTCCGGCAAGCGATCGCCCTCTGCGCCCATCCGAACAGGCTGCCTTCCGGCCCCGGGATGCTGGACCCCGGGCTCCTCCTGGCCAGAGTTCAAACGAGGCGCGGGTCTCCCCTCAGCTCCCGTCCGGTCCCCTCCCCGAAACTGACCAGCTCTCCCGCCCGGGCAGCGAGCAAGGTTCCCACTCGCGACGGAAGCCACCACCTACCTATTACCTGGGCTTGGCTGCCAGCGAGCGAGCGCAGAGCCCGGAGTCTCGGGCGCCGATGCCGGGCCGAAAGCTTCTCGCCTAGACGCTCCCCGGCGGCCCGCCTCCACCGGGGCCTCTCGGCGGCAACGCGCGCGGCCACCTCTGCCGGGAGCGGCGCGCAGGAGCGAAGAGGGAGCGCGCCCCCTGCAGGCCTGCCGTCGTCAACACGAAGTGGTTTTTAATCAACCCGAGAGGCAGCAGGTAGACAGGAATAAACCGAGTCTGGTGGCCCCCTAAAGAGGACCCGCTGGCTGGATAGCTCCAAGTGGGCCAGAACACCAGCCACGAGGGTGGAAATTCACTGCGGCTCTCAGGAGAAGGGCCAGCCTTCAGTAAGCTGGACAGTCAAAGAGCATCCCCACCCCCAAGAAGAGAATGCCAAATCGCTTCTGAATACTCCCTACCTAGGAAACCTGGCAAGAGTTGGAATCCACTTGATAACATTATTATTATGAATTGATATTATTTATTATTATTATTATTGGAGGAATCCCAAGCCGGAATTAAGATTGCCGGAAGAAATATCAACAACCTCCAATATGCAGATGATACCACTCTGATGGCAGATATCTAGCCGCCTAGAGTGGACTTATAGTCCAGATAGGCGGGATATAAATTCAATAAATAAATAAATAAATAAATATCTGTTAAATATCGGCATGGTATGTAGGCTGTTCCTAATACAGTACTGCCATTTTTTGTAGCTCTGATGATGTGACTTCTGAGATCTGCAACTGCTTATAGTACTGGGTAAAGTTTCTTGATGTTGTTCCTAAAGCCCCAACGACTACAGGGACCACTGAAGTGTGTTTCATCCACAAGTGAGATGTTTTGATTGCCAGGTCTGTGTACTTTGTTTTCCCAATTCTTTATTTTCAACTCTGGCATCCCCTGTAACTGTGATGTCAACAATCTAGACATTTCTTTGTTCTATTACTACTATGTCCGGTGTGTTGTGTTCATGGTGTCTGTTTGGATCTGGAAATCCCACTTCCTCATTTTCTGACACCGCCTCTACCTCATGTTCCCATGGGCTTTTGGAGGCCAGCAAGTTATATTTTTTGCATAATGACCAGTGCACTAACGTTGCCACTATATCATGTCTAACTTTGTAATCTATTTGTGCAATATTTGGACATTCACAGATGAGGTGTGACAGTTTCATCTTTTTCTTGGCAGAGTCAACATCTGCTGTTAGCACTAAATCCTTGGATCTTAGCTTTCATTATGTGGATCTGGAGTGTTTGTTCTTGTGCAGGTGCTATTGTTGTTGTTGTTGTTAAAAAATACCAGGCACAGTCAAATCAAAATTATAAAAACTGGTTTAATATAACAGATGCTTACATGAGATGTAAGTTCTTGTCAGTAGCTTTTGTAGCCAAAAGCTTATAACTGAAATATATGTACATTAAGTATGTGTCTACAACTTGAGTTCTGTCTTCATATACTGTACTTTTAAGCATGTGCACCTACTGTACAGCTTTGCTCATAGCTGTAAGGGTGATAAGAGGCCTTTAAGCATATGCACCTACTGTACTGCTTTGCTCATAGCTGTAAGGGTGATAAGAGGCCACATATTTTTGACTTCACGAAAAGTTATGCTTTCAATAACATCTGGATTTTTACACATAGAAACAATGTGGAGGAATAAAGCTTACAGAATAAGACAAACTAATGTCTCCTGGACACATTTTCATCTGTTGATATCACCGTGAGTGGAAACAGTGATTTATTTTCATCCTCTGAAGAGAGATGGAGCAAGTTAAGAAGCTATGTTCCTGCTAAATGATGCCCACTATTTTTTTCCTTATAAAGGTGGGGTAAGGTTAGGGACAGCTGGGACAGGGATACCCTCGGAGGGGGTGGATTTGAGTGAAAACATTACAAATCAATATTTTTCATAGTAATACTATACATTCTTGTCTACTAATAATTCCACACATCAGAAAAAAATCTAAACAGTAAACAAGAAGGGAAAGTCAAATTCAGACAAATATGTTGTTAATCTACTAAACAGTAAACGAGAAGGGAAAGTCAAATTCAGAAAAATATGTTGTTAATCTAATTATGTAGTTGATAGACTTTATCATTTATTGTCTCTTCTGCAGCCATACATATTACTATGTATCAGTCAGCTATTCTACTATGTAACCATAACAAGTTTTCTGATGATCTTTTTTGCCTCTAGCCAATCTGATATGTCAATTTCTGTGGTTTTGAGGGTATTTTCTATCACTTTGACTCTTTGAGGTATTCTAGGTTCCTTCCAAAGTTTCGCAAAAACTATTCTTGCTACTGTTATAATATGAATATAGTAGTTAAGTATGATTTTTCAGAGTCTAGAATATCTGGCAAGATACTTAATAAAAATAGTTATGGTATCATTGGTATTGAAATTTCTAATATTTCTTGTGCCATCTGATTCACTTTACTCCAATATCTTTGGGCATCTTTGCACATCCACCACATGTGATAAAGTGTTCCTTCTTTCTGTTTACATTTCCAACAGATGTCTGAAGTCTGGATACTTATTTTAGCCAGTATTGTGGGGGTCATGTACCATCTGTAGAACATTTTATATACATTCTCTTTAAATACAACAGATTTAGTTAATTTTATTTGTTTTCCAAATTCGTTCCCATTGATTCAATTCAATATTATGTCCTACATTCTGTGCCCATTTAATCACACATGCTTCATCTTTTGTTTCAAAATCTAACAGAAAGTTATATAGTAACTTAATACACTTTCCATCTGATTGTAGGATTTTCTGTTGAAGGTTGTATTTTCTAAATAGAAGCCGCGTTGCTTATCTTTAGCAAACCTTGATAATAGCTGTGATTGCACCCACCAATCCATTTCGATGCACCCACCAATCCATTTTGATGTCTTGATCTACTAACTCTTGTTGAGTTTTGATGGAGCTATCAAGATTTAAAACCTCACTATATTTTACTATTTTCTTATTTTCTCTCACATATGGTAGGACAAAACATTTGCCCACTATTAAGCAGTTGACAAAATCTGTTAGCAGGAATAAGTGACACCTTAATTGAGTTCCCTTCAGTATGAGGAAAACAAGAGAATGTTAGACCTGAGAATGAACGTTTATTTTGAAGGATCACATCAAGGGCCACATTTCAGGGCAACTCAAGGATAAAAACTGCATTTCATTGTGGGTGTCTCAAATGGGAACCTCCAATATTACTGTTTCCTAAAGAGATGTTTACTCAATAGGATCCAAACTAGCTATAATCAATTGGGTCACCGACATTTACTGATGTATCTTACATGGTTATCCAACTTCAGTGGATGCCGTCTGGTCCCTCCAGCGCTGCCTGGAGACTCTACTGGAATGGATAGCATGTCCAAAACAATGGTCAGAGAATGATGTGCTCTATCTAAAAGTGAACAGCACTCTTCAAAATCTTTTTTCTCTGGTGCAAAATAAGTTTCAAAGGCCAGATCTGTGTTTTTGTTCATCTACATTTGATTTGGGTCTCAAAAAGCCCTTTTGATCCAAATAATCTGCAATTAAATTATATTGGTACAACTACCTCTCAGAAAAGATTGCTCTGATTTTCAAAGGTTAAGGTATAGCCGCTTTCTCCCTAGACATTTACCTGCATTCTTTCACATGGTTTAACAGGTGCACTGTGCACCCTTAACAAAATAATGTGCTGTCAAGTTGGATCTGAGTTGTGGTTACTCTTTGCTCGTTTTTTTTAAGTACAAAATACACAGAAGTGGTTTATCATTTCCTCCTTCTGTGGGTGCCCAGGGACTGTGCAGCTTGCCCAAGGCCACACAGGTTGGCTGTGCTCACAGGCAGCACAGTGCAGAATCAAACTCCCAAGCTCTAGCTCTGTAACCAGGTACAACTCAGTGAGCTATTCAACTAGTTCTATGCATCCTTACATGAGCATTAATAACTATCTGTAGCTTAATATATAATGGCTTTTTCTCATACCGTGTTTCCCCGAAAATAAGACAGGGTCTTCTATTAATTTTTGCTTCAAAAATGCATTAGGGCTTATTTCCAGAGGATGTTTTATTTTTTTTCCATGTACAACAATCTACATGTATTCAAATACAGTCATGTCATCTTCTGTTTGCTGCACAATGGTGGACAGCAGGGTTTCACTTAACTGGGGCTTATTTTGGGGGTAGCGTTTATATTATGAGCATCCTGAAAAAAATCACACTAGGACTTATTTTGAGGTTAGATCTTATTTTCGGGGAAACAGGGTAGCTATTGATTCCATTGTGTCACCTGCAGTATGGAACTAGGCTGTATAGGGTCATATGCAAGTGAGCTGCACTGCTTTCAGGAAATTAGGCTCTATTAAAATACCACTGCCCATGTTTCAATATTTATGATTAGAGATAATGGTCATGTAATGGATCATTACAGAAAAACATGACTGTATATTTTTTGGTTGCACTAAGTCTATCCTTTCATAACTCTACTACATTACTACTCCAGCCTTAGTGGGCCTTTGACATTAAAAGAAGTCTTTTGTAGACTGCTTCCTATAATAATTTTTAGGGCCAGCAATTAAGGTAATCGCAGTAGATTAACTATATGTTAATTGATTAATTTGCATGTGAACAATTTTGAAAACTATTCTTGAATTTTAGATAACGCACACAGGTGCTAAGCCGGGTATTAGCTTAGACATGGTCTCTACTCATGTTTTACAACTACTTGTTTGAAAAAGATCTGCTGCCCAATTAATTGGAGCACTTTCTTAATTAATCAAAAGCTCTGTAAATTGATTACTTGAACCAATCTACTAACAGCTTTGATAATGTCCAAGAAATTAAACACTTTCCAAATTAAAATGACCCTAATTAAACTAGTTTGGCAGCAACGCCAAAAAAGAATTATCTGTAAAATACCATGGACTCTACGTGCAACTGAATACATAAATTATATCAGTAGTTCTTGATCTTTGATCTTCCAGATGCTTTGAACTTCGGCTCCCAGACGCAACAGTCAATGTAGCTAACAGTCAGGGATTTCGTAAACTGAGATATGGTGATGTTAGTGGTTTCAAAGCTAAGATATATTAAAGCAGAAGTATACAACGTGTAGTTGCCCACATTAGTGTGACTACCATTCCCAGTATTATCACTAGCTATGCTGGCTAGGGCTGATGGGAAGTGTAATTCAACAGTACCTGGAGGACCATTTTTTAGTCACCAATCTAGTAAAGCAAAGTATAACTGCTACATTTCCTTCTTTCTCTTCTTTGGGTAGACTATTTGCTTTATTATCAATTGTAAACAGTACCATCTTGTGGCGAAGTGGTGATACAACCAGCAATAATAATTTCCTTATGAAATGTTTTATGTTTCAAAATATGGATTTGAAACCTGAAAAGATAACTCTTGAAAGGCAGAAGTAAATTATGTTTCACTTCCAATGAGAATAGTAGAAATGTAGCAATGGCAAGTCATTGCCACCACATACGTGTGAGTATCTTAGCTCATCAGGATGGTGCCTAAACATGGAAACCACAGAATAATAATGTTATGCCTTCTGTAGAACTTGTCCAGTGGCAAATGGCAAAGGTCTTGAACATCAACTCATTTTACCTTTCCATTTTCCCTTCCTCATCCTAGATTTACTGCCTCACTTCCCAATTACTTCCGTGTGCACCTCCTTCTTGGTGCCTTCCTGAATTTATTGGAATAAAGGTCAGCTGCCCATTTGGTAGAAGATTCTTTTGTTGTTGGCAAATTCCTTACATCCCAATGACTTAGGAGGCATACTGCTCTCCGGCTGCTTCACCGGGGCAAGGATTTAATAATTCTTACAATAAAAGGAAACCACAGATGGAACAGAAGCTGAAATACAGTTTAGTTACCAATATGTATTTACATATACACAAACATACAAAATATTCCTTAAGAACCATTTGAAAAAAAATTAGCGCTTCTTCCAAGTAAATTTCCTTCGGGCTCCCTCTTGACCAGGCTTCTTTCGTTCTCTCAGACGTGGGTCCTGTGTCAGGAGACCAGCTGCAGAGATAGGAGGAAGATTCGTAAGCAGTTCACTTACAGCTTCAACAATACAGTAGCGTATTGTACGACAGAAAAAAATGGTAGGGGCCTAAGGCAGAAAAGGGGAAACAGTGCAAGCTCAAATCCATAGCAGTTAGAATCGCATTAAACACAATGACATTTTCCCAGTCTTTGAAATGCGGCATGTTCCATTAGAGAAGGGCCAGATCTGGCTTCTAATTTTAAATAGTTTGTCATTATGTTTAATAACACTGGTCCCTGATTCTTGATGCAGGCAAATGCCTCGCACACGGCCATTCTTGGCATTTTCCTGAGATCTAAGAATAATATTCTGGATTTCAGTTTATAAGAGTATTTGTGTCTTTAAAATTTTTGTAATGCAGATAAGCAGAGACTCTCTTTTCCCCCATTCCAAAATCTCCTTATAATTTCCTTGATTATATTCATTGACTAGAAGTTTTCAGTATGGGTCTAGCAAAGTATCTTCTCTACTTCCCAAACTGTTACGCATTTACATGACAATTCTACTATGATTATTGCTCATGACACGCCTTTCAGTGCAAACAAAAATAGTCAAAACTAAAAAAAAAAGAAAAGCAAGTCAGTTTTCTTCTTTATGTTCCTACCTTGTCTCATGAACTCCACTTCCTGTTCAGTGACAAAGCTACACAAGGCCCTTGCTGAAGCTAAGCGGATTGCTCCAGCTTGTACTGATGTGCCTCCTCCAGAAACAGAGCAGACCACGTCATGTTTCTCTAATCGATCAAGAAACTGGAATGGGAACATCAACTGTTCTCTGGAAAGCATTATACATGTATAAAGGTACATTTAAGATATGAACAATGGAGTAAACTGGAAGACTATCACTCTAGTTCTTTCGATCAAACACATGTAACCTCAAAACAGGTGAAATCCTATTACTTAGCATAGTAAGTCATGACTAGAACAGACCACTGAATCAGTGAGGATCTGATGAGTCACCTCCTCTGTAAGTTCCACTAATTCAAAGGGCCTAGTCTAGTTACACCTTCCTCATTTCAGTCAATGTTTACAAAGAAATTCCTTTGCTGAGATATAAATATTTTTCTGAAAATCTACATCATCCCCCATGTGACCAATACAAGTGTTCTGAAACTGGATCAGGCAATATTTCATGCAGACAGGTGCTCTATCCAGATAGCCTTGTTATCATTTCAGCTAAACAAGCATGTTCAAGGAACAGCAAAAAATCTTAAGTTCTACAGTATGGTATCAAGCATGGTCAGTTAAAAAGATGGTAAAAACTAAAGAGCTAACAGTTGTTCAAACAGTGCTTTGTCATTCCAACTTTTAACCTTTCTAAAATGCACAGACATAAAGCATATGTGCTGCCGGCAAGCAATGTGATCTTAAGGCCAGTGATACAAAGAGAGGGTTAACAATAAACAATAGTGTCAAATTATTTATTTTTACCTTTACAAACTACTTAACATATGAGAAAACACTCTGTAGCAGTGTATAAACAACTGAAATATCAAAATTGGGGGGGGGGATTTAAAAGCTTAAAAAGTATCAAAAGGTACGTGAAGCATGGAAACACGATTAAAACCATAGTTAAATGTTTCATCAAGGAGAGCTTTCTTGGACAACTGTGTCTTAAGCAAACACCAGAAGCAAAGCAATGTTCACACATCAGCTGGTAGGGAATTCCACAGTGGAAGCAGATACTGAAAACTATTCTGAGTCCTCCAAACTGATTGCAGGCCAAGGAAGAAATGAAAGATTTTAAAGCAATACCTATGTTCCAACACATATGTAGGGATCCAGGGTCAGCTGGGGAACAGATATACTGCCATCATCACTCAAAAATCAGCAGTTGTGGTGATCAAGGCCTACACAACTTGGGCTGGTTTGTTGTAAAGTGAAATGCAGTCTATGACCCTTGTATGTTGGTTGGGAGATATGTAGTTACAACTGCTTCTCACACTCTCAGTCAGTAAATGTGCAAATTTATTAAGCTTCTGTTGATGTGTATTTGGCTTGCTGGTACACAAATTACATAGGCCAGTAGTAAACAGTGGCAGGTAATAACCTCTAAATATAAAATACTAGAAGCACACACACCACCAAGGAAGTTGCTGCCTTCAGAGCAATCTGCCCAACCATAGTTGAAAAACAGAATGTCTCAGGTCCACAGAGTTCTCATATAAATGGCAGCTATCAGATCTTTGTTCCATAAAGCTAATTGGGTTTCTGCTTTTTTTATAATGCCGATATAAGGGCAAAAGATTAATTAGAGTTGTCACACATTCACCTCTGAAATGCTGGCTCTATGAATAAATATGCATTCCCGGGGTGATAAAAAAGTACTTATATTTAGTTTGAAGATGGGTTTCAAAATGGTATAGGAATCAGACAACTCTGAGATCCATATGGACGTCTTATGCAGACTTACTGCCAATTTTTAAAGGGATGGAAGAAAATATTTTGTCCAATGGAGTTTGCGTTTCAACAGAAGTCTAGCTGAGCCTTCTTCAACTGATGCCCGCTTTCATAGATGATGGGAATTGTAGTTCAATGTACCTGGTTGGCACTAGGTGAACAAAACTGGTATTGTTGATTAAAATAGAGATTTGAGCCTGTACTTTATCCATTTATTTTCTCCAGCTGCACAAAGCTAAGGCTACATGTTTTTCTTAATAACTTTGTGAATGAGTTACTGATAATATGATGGCAATAGTAGCATTCACGTGTTGACATAACTTTAAAGACTTAAAAAAAAAAGAACTGGCAAGAGTAAAAGAATGGCTGCAGTTTTGATTTTGGCAACAAAACTCATTGAATTACTAACTACTGAAAACAAGAGTAAACTCTTGCTGAATATACTCACCTATCCTGCAAGGCTGGGAAGTAATGTATGTAATTTTCTCCATTTATAGTAATTTTCCCACTTCCATTGTCATAAACAGTAACAGTTGCTCTTGCTGTCTTTCTCTTACCTTCGGGGGGGGNCAGCAATTTCTCGTTACAATTTAATTTCACCTCTCTTTAGCATTTCAAATACTGTATACCAGGAACATAGAAAAATTCTCTCATAAATATTATTTATTCCAAGATCATCAAGCGTCTTTTCTTTCCTAGCCAAATACAATGTCATCAGCGGATGAGCAGAGCTGGGGCCAAGACTGTCTCTGTTTCTCTTTCTGAAAAAATAAGTCGTCCTTTTGAGCTTATTTTTTCCTAAAAGCTATGAAGCCATATACTGGCCTAGATTCAAAATTTATAAAAGTTATAAAAATTCTCAACATATCTGCAGAAATTATCAAAAAGGGATCAAAAACCGAAACAAAAAAATTGGCTTGTTGAGAAAAATGGCACATAACACACAATTTTATTCATACAGCCACCATTGCTATGACTATTCCTCTTTTCCCCCAGCAGAGGGAAGCATACTCTGATAATTCAACATGGCATTATAGAGATAAACTGGATTTTGATTTAAGATTAATTTCAGCTTTAATTTAAAGATGTGTGACTCTTGTATGTTGAACATTTTTCAAAAAGGCCAATCCACAATCCTGAATCAGGAGCACTGCATGAAATTTAAGCACCTTTCTAGCACTAGCGGGAAATAAAGAAAACACCTAAATCCTGACTCTTTCACATACTGTGGTATGCACAGTTCAGGTAATATGTAAAGTGTGAAATTCTAGGGCAATACTATTTTTCCCTGTTTTTCTTGTTTAATATCATCTGTTGATAATTTTGGTTGAATTTAAAAATATTGCTGCAGGTTTGCCTGTGTGTTGTGTGCATGATACAAATACAGTGGTGCCTCGCTTAACGGGCGCCCCGTTTAACGACGAAATTGCCCACCGACGAACTTTTTGCTATCGCTTTTGCGATCGCATTGTGATGTTTTAAATGGGGGGAAATCACTTTGCGATGATCGGTACCCTGTTTTGCTTACCGATTATCGCAAAGCTGATCGTCAGTTCCAAAATGGCCGCCGGGTAAAAAAATGGCCGCTTGCTGTGTTTAGGGATGGATTCCTCGCTTACCAGACAGCGAAAATGGCCACCGTATGGAGGATCTTCACTTAAAGGTCAGTTTTACATCCATAGGAACGCATTGAAGGGGTTTCAATGCATTCCTCTGGGCTTTTAAAAATCGCATAGCGACGAAATCGCTTTGCAGCGATTTTTGCTGCACCGATTAACGTTGCTATGAGGCACCACTGTATAGTAAATTCCATAGAACATGAACATAGTAGGGGAAAAAGTCTAAACATAAAGATGTAGTGAATCTAAACATTTAGGCTATACAGTGGTGCCCCACATGACAACGATAATTTGTTCCGTGAAAATCGCTGTTTAGAGAAATTATCATGTAGCGAAAACCATTTCCCCATTGGAATGCACTGAAACCCGTTTAATGCATTCCAATGGGGAAAATATCTTGTTTTGCGAAGATTGCCTATAGGGCAGCCATTTTGCGAAGCGCCGATCAGCTGTAAAAATGGCTGTCCTGCAAAGCATGGGTCCGGAAAACACAGGGCAGCCATTTTGCAAAGCTGCCAATCAGCTGTAGAAATCATCGTCTTGCGAACAAACCGTCCGCGAAGCACAGACCAAATCGTTGTCAAGCGAAAATCGCCCATTGGAATGACTATTTTGCGAATTGCTATAGCGATCACAAAAAGTCATCGTTATGCGGATTCGTCATTTAGCGGGGTCATCGTCTAGCGAGGTACCACTGTATTTAATTGTGAATGGGGATGAGCAATTCTTATTGAAGAAAGGAAACACTGTAACATACATACATACATACATACATACATACATACATACATACATACATACATACATACATACACAAACACACTTAAAGTACATTTAGGGCTACAATCCTGTTCCCTTTGCTGACGAAAGCTCAGTGGTCAGTTCATTATTTACATGTATGGAAACTGCTGTGATGGTGCAGTTGGAACATCCAATTAGGCATGTGACCATGTGTAACTGGCGTCTTGTCAGATGATTGCTGTAGTTGGGAGTTCCATGAATGTAAATACTGAACTAAGTGAGGCTTAGTTCTGTGAAGAGACATCCACATATGATTGCACTGTACAAATGAATTTGACAAGCTTATCTAACAAAGCATTCTCTGCACTCAAGAATCTAATATATAGAACTTTACTGTGCATATCATATGTTTATGTGACAAGGATATATGACAAAAGTTTTCAGCATTCTACATATGAAAGGCTTGAGCAACATAATAAAAGTTTTTTTCCCAGGAAACACAAGGAGTAAATTTCATTACTGCAAGAAAGTTAAATGATGCCGTCTGATGCTTTCTCTTATTATAAGCCATCAGTAGACTTTGGTGATCCTAAAACAACATCAGATCTAAGAATTGAAAAATATGAAAGCCATGAAAACTACAAAAACTTCGCTCAGCAAATGTGTACTAAATCAATTTGCACATATGAATGTATTCATTTTTTAAATTTTAATTTAAAAATACATATATTGCTCCTAAATAACAAAAATGCCTGGCAGCACACAAAATATATTAAACTACGGAACTACAACCTGTTCTTAAGTATGTGTATTTATTTAGAAAGAAGATCTAACAACATATTAAGACATGTTCCTTTTATATGTCTTTTTGTACTAATTTCTTGTACTAATTTCTTTTGGAAGAAATGTCTGCCTACAATGGACAAGCAGGTAAAAATCCTCACAACATTGTCATCAATGTTTAATTTCAGGCAACAAGTATGAGAACATGGAACAGACTGCATTTCCAATACCTTTCCAATCAATCTCAGACAGAAAGACTAATGTTGAAAAGTATTTGATTTCCCAAATCTTCAAATGCTTCCCTGTCTGAAGTAAGGAAAAGCACCAATAAGTTACCTTCTGCCGTACTAAAGGCCACTCCTTGTTCATCATACTTCAGAGGCTCAATTATCTGCTTTCTTGATTGTAAAAATATTTCCTTGCGAAATTTTAGCAAGTAATCTTCTTCAATGCTACAGCATGGCAATGCTACTAATTTTTCGAACAGCTGAATAAACTGTAAATACTGGAGACAATAAAAATTCATTAAGGGGTGAGGGTGCAAGTGTAATTGCATTTGTCAACAACATCTATTTTTACATGCTTGATCTTTTTGGTTCTGTTCTTATTGATAACCTTTGACAAGATGACACCTCCACATTTGCATGATGCTTGCAAAACAACATGCAGATGTATCATTTTCTATATGAATAAAGATACCTAATCCCTCTCTCCTTAGTGAAAAAATGAATCCACAATTCAAAACATAACCAACTCTTTGTAAGACAGGATTACTACATTAGAATGAAGTTCATCTTAATTTTCAAAGAAATATTTAGCAGGCCTCAAACAGAATGCAATTCTTTGATGGAAGTGGCAAGAGGTAAGCTTCCCAACACATTTCAAAGAAGTTGATGCACTACATTTAAATGGAAATAATTTTATTTTCCTAAACTCCACTTGTTAGGTGATTATATTTCATAATACATACAGGAAATGTGTATCTATGCCATTGGCTGTTCAGGCAGGAGTTACTTTAATGTTTATGATTTTCTTTAAAAACCAAACAATCAAGCTTTTTAAAAATTCAAGAGATACTTGACTTAAAGGGCAACCTCTTGAAATAAATTATCCTTTGCTACTGTATGCTTCTCTCTCTACATCTTCAACATGTGATTAGAAAGTAAAATGCCTCACAGATAATACATGATCTTGTTGCCAAGGCTTATTTGAAGGCCTCCTAGCCCCTTGGCAACAAGGAATTAAAAGAAGCAGTTGTAGATATAAAACCTTCTTACACAATGGCAAACATTTCTGGGCAAATGAAAATTCTCACTGCAATTTGGAGAAGTTTCGGGGGGGGAACCATGATTTTAAACATTTATTTATTGCCCCCAATAGCATAAGTCCCTTGTACACACACCTGCACACACACCAATCATGAAGAGAATGAATGAAATTGGGGAGAATCAGGTGGCAGCAGAAGTGAGGTAATAAAGATGTAGGGAAAGCTCAGGAAGAAGTATCTGCACATTAATTAGTTTCTTTTTTGCTACACAGAATCTGATGGCAAATGTATCTATATCTGTGTAAAATAAGCTCTTTTTCTATTTAGTATTCTTCATGTGATCAAATAGAGAGAAAGTATGAAAAACCATGCCCTCTGGCTTCCTGCCAGCCCTCACCCCATATGTTTGACATAACATTGAACAGAAATGAAACTGGGTGGGAAAGTAGAAGTTAGCAGCATAAGGATACACTAATCACACAAGAATTAAACGGGTATTAAGGATGACACAGATCTAAAGAAGATCACAATGGACAATCAAGTTTTAGAATTCACAAGAGCAAACAGACTTGAGGATGTGGTGATGCAGGCAGATATAAGTGGAAATGTGATTTTTATGGGGTTTGCCAATTGTATGTTTGAAAATTCCTTGCCATATCTAGAAATGTGAAGGGGGAAAAAAAAGAAAGAAAAAAAAGCAGCTTCAGCCTAATTATTATTTTTATTTCTTTCTATGGAACGTCCTTAAGAAGGGACTGGGAAGTTTCAGGTCATTCACATATAACTTAATACTCCACAGTACAGTATGCGTATATATAGATATATGCATGCAAGAGATTAAGAAAATGAATAATCCTGGTCTCCAAGGAGAATATTTCCCCTAGAATACTTAGAAATAACCAGTAGCTGTTCTATTAGGATATAGGGTTCATTAAATAAAAGAGATTAATTACTCACATTTTGATCTGACAGTTTATCCACTAACATTTCTTCCAATTCCTCTTTAATCAGCCATCTGCTGCCAATCAGGTTGCTGTTAAAAATATCACATATATTCTCTTTTTAACTAATCATGCAATTAGAGTGAGATTGCAAAGGACCACACATACAGTCACACTTCATCTGGAAGTATACTTTTCTTTTTTTACTTTGGAAAAGTGCACATTACAGTTACAAACTGTAAGAACTTTTAAAAGGTAAAAAGCAATTCTTCTAATCTTATAATTTACATTAAATAATAAATATGCATATTACTGTTAATTTAGAAGGCCAGGTCTCACTCAGTTTAGTTTAAAGGTTAATTTTCTACAGGATAAATTATGTCTGGAAAACATTTATTCAGCCATGAGAGCTGATACAGGAGGTTTCCGGAAAGCCCTGAACGATACACAACATACAAAAGATTCCAAACATGAAAGGAGTATTTCTTCTTCCCCCTAATCTTTCTCACTCTGGGGGTACTTTTGGTGTTTGAAGGAAAGGAATAAGACCACCAATCTTCCAGCACTTTACCTAGAATCACTCTGTACCCAAAAAGACAAACCAGTAACTTGCCTAGATTCATGAAAGGCAGCAGCAGAAAAACGCAACTGGGAGAGGTTAGTATATGATTTGTAAAAATTTTAGAAGGAAAAAGACTTTATATGTCTTGTTACAGTCTATATGCAGGCAGGCATTCTCTGTTTTTGCCTGTTTCACAGATCTTGTGTGTTATGAAGCACTGCACACAGAGTGATGAATACTTTCTGAGTTTGATATTGTTCATTTATCCCTTTAATTTTTTCTATTTTGTCCTGGCTTCTTGCACTTTTGAGTGTTTCTTCTTATACTTCATCAATGTTTTTATCATTATTTTATACTCAGCCTTCTATCCTTTATCCCACCTCCACACTTTAAAAAAAACCCCTCTCCCTTTCTGTCAGCTCTTTCTCCATCATTAACCCATATGCATTGCAAAACCTTCTGTTATCTCAACGGGTTATATTCCAAGCCTAATTTAACATGCTATCTTTCTATGTTTCTTCTCTACCCCTAAATTCAAATCTTCTGACTTCAATTTCTTGCTTTTCTTCCAAGTATACCTCTGACATAGCACTCTCCTAAGCATTACCTCTTTACTCAACCAGCCTTTTTCTACTCTACTTTGGGACCAACCTTTGGAAACAGCAGGTCCTAAGCATGTTCACATTCCAATCTAGGTTATTTGGCATTTCATGGCTTCAATGATCTTTGGGATAATGCCCAATCAAAGGCAAAGACGTTCTTAAATAAAGAGATGCTGCAATAGTTTTTTCCATGAGAATGAAGATTCTGGTTGAAATCCTGTTGCATAGTATATCACAACTAGAATAGGCCCAATGAATCAATGGAGGAGCTGACTCATCAAATCCTCACTGATTCAATGGGCCTACTCTAGTTGTGATGGAACGAAAATAAGCAACAGGATTTCAGCCTCTAGGTGTTACACCAAAGGAGGCTCTATGGACCATACCTCACTGCATTGCCACTTTCAAGTAGCATGCCCACCATGAGAGCAACATGTGCTCCACCTCTTAGTCTAGTTAAAGGGCCAATCACATGTTTAGCACTGTATTTGCTCTTCATTCCTCTCTGAAATGTTCTTCCTGCCATTGAAATAATTATTATTTCCACTGTGTTGCCTCTGTTCTATCTTTAACTCACTCATAAATAACATCCTTCTGTCCAGCACTGTCTCACATCATCACAAAAATATTTATCTCCAAGGAGAAGATAAACATAATCCAACCAGAAATCCCCAGTTTGATCTTTTCTTCTGCCCATCTCTCTCTGAACTGTTTCTCCTCCTGTTGCAAAGCATTTTGCACTGACTCTGTCTCCTCCTATATCTTTCAAGTGTTTTCTGCTATGCTGGTTCACTACTACCTACTGTTCAAGGACACAAACATCTTTTAAAATACTTTCTTGCCTCTATTCTCTACCACTGATGTACAATCTGTGACAAGGATGAAGAACCTCCAACTGGTGGGCCAAATGCATCCTGAAGGAGGTTCCCATCCAGCCTGCAAGCTTCTACTGTTATCTCCAACCAATGACTGGAAAGGAGAAGGCACTTAAAAATATCCTGCACTGAATGAAATGGAGAAGAGCTCTGCAGGCTGGACAACTGTTGCACTGGGACGTACACCCATGCAGAAATGCATAAAATCAAGTTGTGATAAGAAACCTGAATTTCAGTCATTTGCCATGTAGAGCTTTTATATTATGAACAAAAGGCATATTGGACAAAAACTCTCTCAACAAATCTACTGGGTAGCTTTTTTTATGGGTATACTTTTCTTTTTGTCCCATGCAAAGTAGCATGTTGGGATGAAAAAATGTCCCACACTATTTTTGGAGTCACAAGACTGAGACATATTCTGATTATCAGTAGGATGGCTCCATTTGGTTTGGGGAGAGCACTGTACTTTTCATAGGGTTCAGGAAATACAGGATATATAAAATCAGCAACCACCTCAACTTACCACACTACTCACCTTCAATGCACCAGAATTTCCATGGGGTCAGACATTACCCCATAGACCCTACAAAGAAAGTTTTTTAAATCAAGCTGAATGAGCTTGAGACTGAAAGAAAGAGCTCCTTTGCCCTCATTTGAGCACCAGTTTGCTTTTTAACCATCCTAGTAATTAAAAGAATGGAAGTTCACAAATATGCTCTAAAAAGAGAAAGTGCACAGATCCAAAAATAGCTATATTATACACTGAATCCAGATTAAGTCAGCTTTGCATTTTTAAAATTCTCACACAAGAGAAAAAAAATTATAGCAGTTAACATTTTTTCAGTAGGGCACCTTGATATGTTGGGGGATATTTTATCAAGGATGAGAAATCTATGAGTATCTGTTACACCCTTAGTTGTGATTAACTCTGACATTGATTTCAAAGAGATCAATGTGCAGGTTAACTTAGACTGAATGCATCCCAGTATTTTAAACATCTCTTAACAGTCATCTGAAAAGATGGCATCACAAATGCTGTATGTTTGGAAAATGTATCTGTCACCCACAGAAAACTTTCATTATAATCTTACGGAGGCAACTTACATTTGATTTTTATTAAGAGTTAATCCTTGAGCAAGCAGACGATCTTGATATTCCTGAATGTGCAGTAGTTTACCATAGGCTTCCTACAGGAAGGAATGCATTAGGTTGAGGTTCAGTTGTAATAGCCTTCTGCATGAAACAATAACAAAAATCCAATAGTGTGTGAAATATTCAGCACCACAAAAATTGGCATTTTCTTCCCTTCTCCATGCAGCTGTCTGTAATGCTAAAATCCCAGGTACAGAAAGTTACCCAGTTCTCTGGAGCAAATTTTTAGGCTGTAATGTAAGGTACACTGCAGAGGGATCACCAATTCTATATCCTATGAAAGTATAACACAGAACCCTGGTTATGGAATTTTAACCCCTCACTGGCAAAATCCTGTTAAGTGACAGCACCAAAGTGGATCTGAATTTGAGGGTATGCTACAGTTTCAGGCTGGAATCCTGTTGAGTAGCTTCACTTGTGTAACTCAATGTAACTGTGTAAGCGTAGCTGTAATTGTACCAAGGTAGAAGGGCTATTTACAAAGCACTTCCACAGGTCCAATCAGCTGCAACAAAAACCACACGACTGGTTGCTCAATTAAATCGTGCAATCCAATTTGCTTGGGTATAATAACCAACAAATTTATGCAGGCAAAACATTACATTATGTGAAGACAAACAGGATTCTGGCTGTCACTTCCAGTGCAATAACAGAAAAGGGGCAGGAAAATGTACTAATTAAAACAAATTATTTTTTCTTGCTTTGGACTACAGCTGAAGCTTTGCATCTTGTCCATGTGTTTTCTGTATCTGAAGTTATTACTATACAGTTCATGTTTCTTGATTATAATGTACCAGAACAAGTTAACTATGTTTCCTGGCTAGAAACTTAGTCTGAGATGCCAGGAAGAGAGATTCCATAAAAGATTCAAGGAAAGGATGGAACTTCTGTTAGAACATTTTCTGAAGATCAGAAACCTAGTACTTCAGGACATTTCAAAAACAGAAAAATATTTCTGGTGCCTTCAAAATAAAGGAAACCACACATTACTGGATTTTAACAGCGAAACAGATTCAAACACAACAGACTATTTTTGCTGACTCCCTCAAGGAAATGTCATCCTTTTAAGAAGGAGGGTAGTCTCATCTTAAAAACATTAAGAAACACAAAATATTCATTTCTATCTTCCTCTGCCTCCTGGTATTAAACATTTGATAACACACTCTGAATACTTCATTCAAGACTAAAAAGAATGCTCCATTCTAAACTAAAAGGTTGCTATGTGCCATTACTCTTGCATATTCCTCCATTCTCGAGACTGCTAGGGTTAAAGTGGTGGAAGAAAAGGAAGATGCTGCTCCACTGACTGTGTTACCTAGACTTAGAGTAGGGTCAAACAGTTACAGTGTGTGGTGCTGCATGGCCACTTATTCAATAATGGCATTAACTGGTTGTGGAGTTGGTTGCTTCCCATGTACAGCCATGCAGTGAATCAAATATTAGGTATGCCTGGAATGTATTTTTCAGAATTTGTTCAAATCAAAGCCTCCAGAAATTTGTAAGTTTCAAATACACTTTGGAGATTCTTGCCAGAAATTCAAAACCTCCATTTTACTAAACATTTTTGGGATTCTCTACACAAACAAAGGCTATCATCTTTTGAAAACTTCCATATCAGATGTTATAGTCTGTAATTAGTAGGACAATACTTTTGACCACATGGAAGACATTCTGAACACAGATGGCAATCCATCCGTATGGCCCTATTCCTAACACTAGGAAACAACAGCTCACAGCATCCCATATGATGGGGCTTCACTCTTTCTAAAGATCTGTCACCATTTTATCTTTTTTTGTCTTATACTATCTTGTTTATGATTATCTTAACACAAATCATTAATAATTATTTTGAGTTTGTATGTATCGAAAGGGTACATAGTGAAATAAAGAGTTTTAATCTATTTCTTCATTCCAGCTATGAATTCCCCCATTTCTCAAAACATTTTCACTGTTATTAGATTATATTAATGTGTATAGATTATATGCAAGTATATGTTTGTGCAACATTATTTGCAAGATGACACTCCAGTAGACAGGATAATGATACTCACTATCTTGATTTTGTGAGTTGTAACAGAGATGTAAGAATTTGAGAAGCATGTTATCTGGCAAACATTCTAATTTTTAAAATTCTGAAAGAAGTTCTTTTGAAAATGGATAGGTGAAAATGGTGCTAAAAGATTCCAAAGGCAAGAACTAAAGTCATAAATATTCATATATATATATATATATCTTACAAATATAGCTATTATGCAATAGATTTCATATTTGTGAATCACATATATGTTGTCACAAAACAACAGGACTACTGTACATTGTTCATCTTGTCAATTAACAAGATAGGCAGTTTTAAAGAAAGCTGCACTCTTGCTGAATAATAAGTGAAAAGCAAGGCTCTATGTAACATAACCTAAAAGAACAGACTGTGGTATCCTCACCATCACTGCCACCAATGTATTTTAATGTAGATACAGTCTTCATGTCAGTAGCTAAATACAAGACTTTCAGGTTAACCTAAATGGGGGGAAAACTCATGAAAGAGGCTCATTCTTTTGCCTTCAGGTTGTTTCTGTAGGTTCCAATAGACAGTTTCTGAAACCAGGTGTTTTTGCTTCCTGAAAGAAAGGGCCCTGAAAATACTGAGTTTCCTCTATCAGATTCCCTCCCTTTGACCTATGCATGTAAAGCGTTACCCCCCCCCTTTTTTTGGCTTGTACCCACCACCATTCTACCAGCCCTCTTTTCTCCCTCTCTTGCTCTTGCCTCACTGCCACTGCCGCACGGCTTTACATCTGAACAGATAAAAACACCAATACCCATACCTTTCTCTCTCCTGTTTAGCAAGGGAAGTGCTCTATGTGGCAGCTATGCAGGTTGTGTGGACTCTACTATTGATCCTCATCCAGGCAACACTTGGGAACGAACACATTAAACAAGACATCCTGCTGTCCCTGGCTGCATATTCAAGAGGCAAGAGCAAGTGTGCTGGGGCATGGACAGACAGCATGAAGCCTAAGGATCATGTGTGGCTATCTCCTCCTGGACCCTGTCTATGGTGGTGGGCAGATGCCAGAGCCATTGGGTGAAGGAGGGTTTCTTCCTGTACATCTCAGGGGGGGTGCGACCAGAAGAAAAAGAAAAAGAAGGTCCGTGGAGAAGGGAGCAGGGGCAGAGGAGGAAGGGGAGGGGGAATGTCCCAAACAAAAAGTCCAGAGTCTTCAAAAAATATCTGTTGCAGTTTGTCTCAGGGTGTGTGTTGCATGTATGTGTGAGAGAGATGATATTATAGGAGAGGAAGTGGGTTCCTGTGTGGTTCTGATGGGGAAGAATTGTGGGGAGAAGCAGGGAGGAAGGTCAAGTTGTTAAACTGTAAAGAAATCCAGATTCCTGGACAATGTACAGTAGTGCCTGGCTTAGCAATCACTCCGTTGAGCGATGAAATCGCTTAGCAAAGCGACCCTTTTTAAACAGCTGATCGGCAGTTTCAAAATGGCTGCCGAGAAAACAAAATGGCCGCCCGCTGTGTTTCCTCGCTTTAGAGGCACCGAAAATGGCCGCCCCTATGGAGGATCTTTGCTTAAAGGTTAGTTTTTAGCCCATAGGAATGCATTAATCGCGTTTTAATGCGTTTCTATGGGGTTTTTAATATCGCTTAGCGATGAAATCGCTTAGCAACTTTTTTCGGAATGGATTAACGTCGCTAAGCGAGGCACCACTGTAAATGGGGCAGAATGCATTCATGGCCCCTCAGAGCTAGCCATTCTGCTTTTCAATTGAAAATCTGTGGAAAATGTGATGAATTTTTTAAAAAGGGGGAAAACCTCTAAACTCCAAGTATGTTTAATGTATTATTTATTCCTTAAGAGTGTGGCGAAACATTTTTAGATGGTTACAGGAAGCAGCATGGATAGCTAGCCCTGACACAGTGCTCCTCCCCCCACTCCCTTCCTCTTTACTCCACCTTTATCTTACTCTTCCTTTACAGCAGAGCTGCCCTGTGACTTCTACTTTATCTTCTCAACTCTGATGAGCGCCATACGTTGTTACTGGCCCCCTTCCTCTCCTGTCCTTGTTTCACCACTGCCACATTCATACCTCTTGGCCACTGCTGCAAGCCCTGATGTTTCCCCTTCTGCTGCCTCCCCCACTACTACTGGGCTTTTTCAGATTTGTGCCAGAATCCAAATGGGAAATGCTAACTGATTTTTTTTTTAAGTTCAGTATTTATGGGTTTACCAAAAGGACTACCAGTAAGATTTGAAGTCAAATAAGGAGCCACCGAAAAGGTCCCGAAAGGAAATCAATACTGAAGTTTTTTACCAGCTCATACCAATCACTAGCCGTATAGGGGAAATTCAGAAGGGAGACATAAAATAGTTGGAGTTCAAGCCAAACCATTATCTGAGAATGCAAGACATTAACCTCTATCCTTTGCTGCTAGTTGAAAAGAATTAATTTTAATATTGGTCTGCTTTTTATTTTAATAGTCAAGGATAAGCAAATTAATAACATAACAATACTTCTGATAGATCCTCTAATTTGTCACAGAATGTTTGACATACGTTATATATTTGGGGTTTTAATGTCATTTTAAACAAGATAATGATAGTATTTCATGAGTGAGCGTGTAAACATCTCACTATGCGCCTGAATCACATGAGCTAAAGTCTCCTGGCTTGAAAGCAAACTGAAACTTGAATAGGTAAAATAGAATACGAAACCTATGAACAGAATATGAATAGTACTAGTACTGGTCCTACAAGTACCCGAATATTATAGGTCAGTTGCAAATCTACGAGTGACATATAGTAATAATCTCGTATGAAATAAATGATACATGCTAAGGGAATGCTGATAATGACATGTTAACAAAAGTTCTTTTATCAATTTTTTGCTATTATCCTACAAACAATAAAAGGATGTCTGCGCAACTGACAACCATTATGGGAAATGATTTTATTTTTATCATTTTAAGTTAACAGTTTTCTATTTAACGATTACATCTTCGTAATCTAATCTTAATCTTATCTTAAAACGTCAAGTACACATGGTTCATATTTTCTCAGTAAAATATATGAGAAATCGATCTTAATGAAATTATTTCTCATTCTTCTTAATGAAGATATTTCCAAATGCCCTGACACTACTTAAATAAACTGATAGTCCATAATGACTGCATTTATGTTTGTCAAAACAGATTTCGTCTGGAGGAAGACTTCATCAAGGGGCGAGCAGGGCTACTCTTTGAAAAGGCTGGGTCTCAGGAAAATCTTACACACCTTTTCCTCACAGGCAAGCTATACCTGAAAAAGCAGAAGTTGTGCTCCTTGTAATTTTTTTAACATTTCTTCATTATGATGGAATGCAACAAAACATCTTGCCCTTGGCTTGCTCTGTTTCAGCCAAAACAAATGCAAATGGCCTGTCAGATGACAGCTGCTTGATAAGGCTCCTCTACAAGACCTGCATGCTTTACTTTTTTCCGTGAAACTTGGGATGAAAGGCAGAAGGCAGGAAGAGAATTAATGTAGCATACAGTCTAAAGGCAACGCTACAACCGTGATTAAGTAGAAAAGCTAAAAGGCACAGATTTTCCACAGCCTCTCTGCGTGCAACCCATCCGTGTAACAAGTTGACAGGCCTAGCGCGTCAGCTCCATCATCCTCTCCGACAGCTAAAACGCAGCGCTGCATCCCTTTTCAGAGAAAATTTGCGTCTGCACCATGAAGCGTTGTACATTATTTCTTAGCACTGCAGGGGGCTCAAGTCCATATGGAACCTTCACAAATATTACCACAGATCAAACCAGCGGCGTTTCGAGGCAGATTTGACATACCTATTTAAATGAACAGTAGGGGGCCTCAGGCTGCCTCAGGCTGTGCAGGAGAAAACCTCTCTGGAAAGCCTACACTGCAGCTCCATTACTCAGCAAAGACACTCTCTACATTTATCATTCATTTCATTTCTGCCAGAGCAAGAAGCTCATTTGCCCAAGGTCAACCAAAAAGAAAAAAATAATTTCTCTCTTCTTCCTCTAAAGAAATAAATGTACCTGACAAGTGGGGATTTTGTCCTTTGGGTGTGTAGAGTACAAACACACACCAGATAATTCTTTTTTTAAAAAGGGGAAAGCCACATTTAAAAAATAGAAGTCCTCTAAATGCTACTGCAACCTTCTTTCAGAAACAGATCACTAGAGAAACCAAATTTGACATCACTGTAACATGAAAAATTATCACCCAACAAAAAAAAGAGCATTTAATTTTCCAGAACTGAATATCAGTTCTGAATACAGATTTAAACTTCCAGAAAATCAATGAATCAAGTTCTACAGATGATGCATATTCTACAATTGCTATGAATGTGTTGCTTCCACAACTAAGTTCAGGATTCTTTGGGAGTTTTAAATATAATTAGTACCAAGCATACAAGAAGTAAGCCGGCCTGCATAGCCTTGGGCAAGCTGCAGTCTTAGAGTGCCCACAGAAGGGCTGGCAAGCAATTTCCAACTACTTTGCACCTAGGAAATCCAGGCAAGAGTTGCTGGAAGTTGGAAAAACTTGACAGGTCATAAATAATAAATTAATAAAGAATTGCCTTGCTGAACTGACCAACATCCTATCCAACACAAAAATCTATTTTCAGCAATGGTGAGTCATAAAGTTATACTGATTTTGAACATGAGCCTGAATTCAACAGGGTGCTCAACCCTTCCACACCCCATACTGCAGCTTTCTGTGCACCCGCCCCAAAGCAGCTCAACAGCCAATTTTCGCATAGTCCAGGGGGCTGCAGAGGAGACTGGAGGGAAAGCAAATTTGGTTGTGCTAGTTATCAAATGCCAGTGTGACACTATTTTAAGCCATGGATATTGGTTACTTAGCTATTATAAGGATGAGGAGATATATCCTTCAAAAGTCTCTGCCTCTTACTGCACAGTCCTTAACACAATACTGATGGAACATATTTGCACAGAGTTTTTATCTGAACATGTATTCCTCTGCTTGCAAATTTTGTGCAACCCGTGAACATATTTCCACTCCACACTCTAGAGGTTTTACTTTCTTCTTAAACACAGAACAAGGCGCTTATTTTTGTCTACTAATACGATTCTTTAAAAACAAAACACACCAAAACAAAAACAAAAACATCTTACATAAGAAACGAGACAATAGTAGGATTCTCCTCATCAGACTGAAGTGATGAGAGTTCCACAAAGGTAAAGCTTGATTTTTATAACTTATCAAATCAAAATATCAAACAGAAAATATGTTCCCCTAATTAGCCAATATATGAAGGGAAGTGGAGAAAAGCAGTAGAGGAAATACAAGAGAAGACAGGGGTAGATACAGTTGATGGTTCCAGACATTTTTCAGCTAAAACACCGATCTATCCAGCCAACAATTATGACTGTTATAGCTCAAAACACCTGGAGGTATTTGGCCTCCAAGGAGGAAAGACAAGGGGGGGGGGACTAAAGACACAATGACCAGGCACAGAATTGACAGAAAACTTCTTTCAGCCCTGATCTTCATGAAATGCAACAATGGACTGAGCAAAGGTCCACTTTTCTTCTCCACTGCCACTGCCACTGGATTAGTACCAGAGCAAATTTTTGACAATAAAGAGCCAGTAAGGAGGCAGCTGGGTGTAGCTGCTAAGTAAGGGGTTACAGACAGTGAGAGGATTCTTAAATAACTTTTTTCAAATTATGGGGATGGCAATACTTAGCTTAACTGCATTATCAGTGATGACATGTGTCAAATATTATATGTAAAAACAAAATAAAAGTAAAAATTATAATAAAAATAAAATACGAAATAAAAAAAGCATGGTAGAAACTTAAAGACTAACTTTATGTATTTTTAATGTGAGTTTCTGTGTACAAGACCACTTCATCAGACATAAGAGATTTCTCAAACTGGCTTTAATACGAGGACTTCTCTGCCCAGGCTTAGGTTTGGCTTTAATCCCTGTTCCCTGCCAGATTTTCTTGGTATGCTGTTTCATTGTTTCACTTTGTACTCCCTCGCATTTTCTTAATCTCCCCCTTGTAGTCTTTTGCTTAAGTTTCAGATTTTAAACACAGCAATTTGAACACTTACATTCATAAAAGGTAAGCTAGCTGCCAGCCAAACACAGAACTGACTAAAAAACTTGCTGTGTGCCTAAAACTCAAGGTTTACATATACACATAAACAACACTTTTAAAGCTGCTCCATGTATTATCAATAACATTCCTTTCAGCAACTGCTTGAAATGCACTGTAACCTGTTGTTCCTTGCAGAAACTGCACATTTTAAAAAGAATTATGAGGGAGATAAGTTTATTAAAGTTTCATTTATTAGGGCTTCAAATTCTTCAGTAACTAATCTGTTAATTGATTCTGGAAACCAACCAAAACTGAAATGGGAAATAGTCATTCATACCTTAATTTGATAAGTATTTTCTAAATAACATTACAATTTAAGGAAACACGCATATATATACATCTATTTTGGTCTGTTAGTTAAAAAAAGCGAAATGGTGGATCACTTACATGCATTAGAGAATAATAGGACTGCTTCCCAGTGTAAAAAAGAAAGTGAAATGGTCGGCCGTCTTCTCCCCATTGTACGGCTAAAAACAAAAAAGGGGAATAAAAACTATCTGAATTGGAATTGCTGAAGTCAAGAAAAAAAGCTATAGCCTGCATCACCTTCTAAATCTATTGCACATGTTCCAACTAAAACACTGAGAAACATGGAAATGCAATCTCAGATTGTAATTCATTTCACTGTTTAACAATTGTAAAAATATGATCTTGTGCATGACTTAAATCTCTTTTTTCACTTCAAGCTTATTAGCTCTTGACATTGGCCTTAGTGGCCACAGAAACTAAGCAGTAATTACTTACAGAAATATTTGGCATATTAAAAATGCATATACTATCTCAGTCTTTTTATGTATTTTCTAGATCAGGATTTTTAAAAAGGTAAAATAGCAACAAGCTCTAATCACCACTTGCAGCTAGTATATAAGAAATTTGAAAATCCCACTTTTCAATTTTAATATTACGTTTTGTCCAGTAATCTTTATGATCTCTTTGGTCAACCATTAAGAAAGGAGAAGAAGACAGAGAAGAAGAGCAAATGGAGTGGGACTCAAAAAAACTGCATATAACCACATCCAAAGCTTCTGCTTTTTGAAGTATACTGCCATTCCATATGACACATGGACAGCCAATTTTGAAATGGAAATTTTCCAAAGCATGAGCAAATGTAACATACAATAAACATCTGGATCTCGTCTTCTGTGTAAATGTGTAAATATTCTTATGAACAAACCATCTGAGTATGTTACATATCTCCACTTACCTCTCTGTGCTGGAAAAATTTCTTCGGGATGCTATGTAAAATAAAATAAAAAAAGATTAGCCCTATTGATACAAATTCTGTCATTATAGCTATAACATCAGATTAGGTTCTTACCTTCATTCTAGGCCGGGCCTTCTTGTCAAAGATGCCAGAAGGAAAGAGATAGGCAATCGCTTTCTGCAAACAGAATAAAAAAGGAAACTTAAAAAATAGCAAGGCCAACATCATACACAGAAATCTCTGCTCTCAGGAGATCTATCATGAGGGTGGATTGATGTCAATTGTCTAGCAAAAAACAACCAACACAAAGATATATATCAGTGAGAAGCCCCAAACCAGGACGTGCAAAACAGTGGTTGTGAAAGTACAGATATAAAATACACTTAAAAGTAAGGAAACATTTCTGGGCATATGCACAGTTTAGGAACCTGTAAGGTAAAGGTAAAAGTTCTCCATGACATTTAGTCCAGTCATGACCGACTCTAGGGGACGGTGCTCATCCCCGTTTCCAAACCATAGAGCTAGCGTTCGTCTGAAGACAGTTTCCGTGGTCACATGGCCAGTGCGACTAGACAAGGAACGCCATTACTGTACCTTCCCACCAAGGTGGTACCTATTTATCTACTCGCATTTTTACATGCTTTCAAACTGCTAGGTTTGCAGGAGCTGGGACAAGCGATGGGAGCTCACTCCGTTGTGTGGATTCGATCTTACGACTGCTGGTCTTCTGACCTTGCAGCACAGAGGCTTCTGTAGTTTAACCCGCGGCGCCACCATATCCCTATAGGAATCTGTATTAACTCTCAAAATTAAGCTCACAGGCCTTCCATAGAAAACTCTACCTTGGATTTCCCCCAAGCTTTCTTAATTTCAAGACATAAATTTGGAAGGCAAAATCCTTTCTTGCTCTTGTTTAACAAACTTAAATGCCTAATCCTTGTACAATCATGATGCACTTCACACTTTTTACGTGATCCTGTCTGCCACCTAGCATATCTGATAACTTTAATAGCCACTGCCCATAAGAAGGGAACACATATAATAGTTTACACTTTGTTCCTCTGGAATACTGCAGAAGGGAAGAGACACCTGTTTACTAACAAAGTGAGATGGAGGAGCTCACAGTACTAGACAGAAGCTTTACCATCATCATCCCTAACATGAGCAACAGCTTGCTTTAAAGCTTTAGTGATTCATCATGTAACTTCTAACCAGTCAAAATAATTGGTACTGATAGGTCCTAAGGAGCTGCTATCATCTTTTAGTACTGAGTTAAACATACCCTGGGAAGCATCAAGTTAAGCTCCACTTTTATTCACCGCCAAAACAATGGCACTGTCAATAAAGCCTGCAGCTAAGAATCAATTAATCCAACAATGAAATATAAGCAGGAAAACTAAAAACCACACAGTTTTTTAAAAAATAATTTCAAAGAGAGGATAAAAAACATCTTTGATAGAAAATATATTACTGACATGGCTTGAGCTAAAATATAAATTGCAAGTCTCCCTAACCCCAATGCTTCCCCAGGATGCATAGAGATCATTAAATTTTAACCAATGTTTTCTATTACAACTGAACAACATTTTATGATTTCTAAGAACTGTCCCTGGTCTCTTGTGAAATAAAGTAGCTGGGTCATCATCTTTGGGAATCCCAGCAATGTTCTGTACCACATGAGTGCTTTCAAATGAGTATTTTCTCTTAAACTGAGGAAAAACAAGCCAGCAAACGATCATTTCAGCATATATCCCCAGGGAAGCCTGGAAGCTTTTGAAGAAATAAGGAGCTGGATCATGTTACAGACTAAATCTAGCATTAATCCAAACTAGAGAAGACCCACTGAAATGAACTCTATTCTTGTTCTTCTACAAATCTCAGTGAGTTAACAGGTCTGACTCCAGTTGGGACTAACATTTGGTTTTGCTCTCAGTGTTTAGGAGAGGAAGATATAGATTAAACACTGAGACATACGTAACTTGCAGATTCCTATGGACTATTTTCAAAGTAAATATTTTCTTTTGCATCCAGAAGCTCTGAGGCAAGAACTTATTTTTCCATCCAATTCAAATGGGGATTAGTGCCACATGTATATTCCAGTGACACAGAACTGCAGTAAGAAAAAAATTCTGAGAATTCCATGTGATCAGTGAATAGTGAGTGCTGTGGCTTGGCTCAATCAATATCTTTAAGGTTTTAGGAAATATATGCAGCATAATACATTTACATGGTTAATAATTCTAAAACAATCAAGAACTCATATTTGTAATAAAAAATGCACTATGATCCCAAAGCTTGAGTGATTGTGTCAAAAAATACCAATGCAAGCAAATTTTTCTTTGTAGTTAATGCCTTCCATTCTGAAGAATATTGTTGCAATGCTGGTTGTATTAACTCAAGGCTATTAGGCAATGATAATATTTTCTGTGGACACAGATTGGTTTGTCAATGCGACCAACCTACTTAATATGTGTGGAGTGTATAAAGATCTCACCTATTACTTTATTAATACCCGCCTGGCATTCCAAACAGAAATACTGAGAAAGCTGCAAACAAAAAGGATTAACTTGATCTTATGGAATGGCATTTTGATTCTCTTAGTGACTTGATGAATTCCAATTTGTTATCAAATGGAGATATTGTACACACAAAGAGTAGTTGAACATCCATTTGTGAACAAACGAGGATTAATTTTAATGACAATAGAATAACCCACCATGAGCCAACAGATATTCAACGTTATATAAAATAACATATCAAAAGAATATATTATGAATATTTGGCCCCACTGTGTATACTTATTAAGTAGTTTCTTCTATACTAGCTTCAGTTTGACAATTCAAACAATAATCTCAACTGCTGAGAGGAAAAAACTGATTTCAACATAATCACAATTAAACTTGAATTGAGTACTGTCTGCATACAATCTATACATATAGCAAACAAGACAACAGGACACAACATACAAGTATCCACCATAAATTCAAATTATTTCTTGGTCAGTGGTATGTCCATAATGCTAAGGGTAAGAGATTCCTCTTGCAATTCCTTGAAAGTATGTATTATAATCAAATGGCTAAAATGGACTAAGCATACATCTTGTACAAGAAACATTTAGTAATATTTCTATCAGGAAGACTAACAATACCAACACATCTTATCTATAGATTCAGGCTTCAAAAATTACTTTGAAATATGGCATGGCAAGTGGAAATGTATCCATAACAGACATATTTTTACCTGATCTGTTCATCTAGACCAGTGGTTCCCAACTTTGGGTAATTTGGGTGTTCTTGGACTGCAACTCTCCGGAGCCTCCAGCACCATTGCTGCTTGCCAAGGTTTTTGGAAGTTGTGGTCCAAGAACACCTTGGTTACACAAAGTTGGAAACCACTGATCTAGGTCAACAGAAAGGAAAGATTTACAGTTACAGGTGCTAATGTCTGACTCTTCTATAAGTGAAATTATTGTATAATAGAATCAAAAACTTTGCTATAGTTTTGCTATCATCAACACTTACTGTATTTGTTCTATTTGGTGTTTAACCATTGCAGCACAATGTTACCGTGTGTTAAAAAAAATCGTGCTCGTTTTTATATCTTCAACATATATTTATTTAATTTTCTTTCTTGCCTTCTTTGCATGAGGTTAAAGCAGTGGGTACTAAGTTTCTAAGTAGTCCAAGCACTGACCAAGCTTGTTGTTGTTTAGTCGTTAAGTCGTGTCCAACTCTTTGTGACCCCATGGACCAGAGCATGCCAGGCCCTCCTGTCTTCCACTGCCTCCCGGAGGCAGTGACTAAGCTTAGATATGCTTAATTTCAGTAAGCTTCATGTATCAGACACCAACTATCTGAAAATGTATGAAGGGTAAAGCCACAGTAGATTTAACCTAAAGGAGCATTTGCCAATCTCTGTAGTCAATCTTTCTGCTTTCTTGAAGCAATTTATCACAGCTCACGCTAGTTCAGGGCTGCTTCAGACGAGACCTTAGATCTAATACAGGCTGCTACTGGTATGTGAATGAAGGAAGAAGCACTAGGAATCAAAGTGCAAGCCTCTCTGTATGTGCAAATAACATGTCTTTCATGCTGTAGTTCAGCATTAATATAATGGGAATTTTTAAAGGCCTACTTATTTCTCTCTAATGTCTTCGAATCTAGAAGAGAAAAACACTGTGGAAACTTTAACAAGCTGGTATTTCAACAGAATTCTTGGAGGAGAATCATGCTTTCAGTGCTTCTTTAAAAAGTTAATTTATCAGTGAAGATCGCTTCTTAAAACATTTGTTTTACATTTAAGCATTCAAGTATTTGTCTTCAGGTCAATATCAACCAAGATTTCTACTGTACTACTCACTGCCACAAAGGTTGTTACTCCCTACCAACATACCCTCTAATTTTCAGCCACGATGGGTGAGACTCTGCCTCTTGTGCACACACAAATCTGCCCCCTCTGCACACAGGCTCCATCGTGACCAGAATCTAACGGGATTGCTGAGCAACTTAGAGGGAACCTTGCTACCTATCTATTGACTCAATATACTGCCTGATCTCACTTTCTTTTATAAAGCTTTTAACAAGGAAAATGTCTTGACATGGTCAGAGAAAAGTTGTCAGAGAAAAATTACAGGGTTCTGTGACTGCACTGTGAACAGATGACAAATACTGTAAGTAAACTGGGGGAGTTCTTGGATTATCTTTTCAATATTGAGTAATCAGACTATTCAAAAGTGAGGCATTTTTTTCTCTCAATGTTAAAAATAAAACTAAAAAAATAAATAAAAGGATTATATTCTGAACCCAGGGAAAAGCACTAGGTCAGGACTGCAATCTCTATTAATTAGGTATCCCAGCTGGGCAGCGGGTATGCAGCTGTTAACTTGATCAATGACTTACCTAAATGTCATCTCTACTGATTCGCTTATAAATTACCAGCAAGTGAGACTAATGTACAGGTGCTAATTTATTTAAACTGTTCTCTACAGTTCTACATAGCTTTATAAACTGCATCTGGCACCTAATGTTAGCTGTCAGTTGTACTTAGACATGCCTGTCCTAACGACTCTGTTCATTAGAAATGAGCACAAATTATGAAATATTGTGAAAAATGATACATCAAATGGAATGGGCAAAGCGAATCAATTAGAGAAACTTCATACTGCATATTCATACATAGGAGAATAAAACATCCTGATTTCTGAGCACGGTCTATAATACCAATTAAAAAGCAATTGGTAGACTTCTGCAGAGTTATATATCAATTTGCTGGGCTTTCCCCCCTAAGACACACAGTTGTAATTTACAGCTTAACTGTTTTATTCCTAAAAAATAAAACCACTTGTAAAGCACTACTCTGGGCAAAACTACCATGCAAAAGCAATGACAACATTGCTAACTTCTTCTTCTTCTTTTGGTATGGCTTATTTCAAGATGCACATACACATACCCAAAATGACAGTAAGAAAAGAACCTTAGGATGTCTACTTTGGAAATCTACTCTGCAAGTTGATTAACAGCAGACGACAGGAGATGCATAAGCACTCATCAGAAGGAATTATTACTATTCCAAGTTTAAAGCCTAGTAATTCTACTGCCAGAGCTAAGCAGCTTTTATATTTTTTTTAAACACAAATTTAATTATGCATAACAGACACTGTTATATAGCCTATGCATTTACAACACCTGATATTATGTGAACAAATTGAACAAGCAGTGTAAGTACTACGTCTTGTTAGGTAAACTGGTTTTTGCTGTCTTCATAATTTTTTTCAAAAAAAGGTAAAGCACTGTAATGGTCTTACATGTTACATCTGCAGTAAGAAGAAAATGAGATTTTCAGGATATAGTGTTTCTGAAGGAGAGGGTGCCAATATGCCTGGAAAGTTTCAGCAATCTAGGTTTGGGCCTTACACGCTAACCTGCAGAATTATACAGCTAATCTACTCCACTATTTCTGTAGCCATTGGGTCAAGATTTAGTTTTCAACTTTGGACTGCTCCATATTGGTACAGAGGTTATTTTTATCTGGATACTCTGGTAATTCTCCAATACTGCGGTCAGTCAATCCATTTGCTTGTACATCCATTGATCCATTCAGCTGAACCATACCAGAAATATTAGGCCTGATAAAGTTAATAAACACAAGTAACTACACAAATAATTAAGTCTAAATGGCTATTTGCTTATCATAAGAGTCTATATGCTGACCCAGATTCTATGGTATGTACCTACAGCAGAGTTGCCCTAAGAATAATGCAACTCATTATAAATTTGCACAAGCACAGGTCACAACATAAAGGAGACTACAACAAAATTGTAAAATGAGCCCATCTGCAAAATCTCTCATTAATTCCCGGTGCTGTAAGATGTCCCAGTCATGTGATAATAGAAGGAAATACCTCTTAGGGAAAGATTCATAGGCCTTTTAGGAAAGAAGCAGGGTAACAGGAAAAAAGGACCAAGAAGTAAGAGAAAAGGCACATTAAAAAGATACTGAGATAATAAAAATAAGAACTGCCTTGCAAGACAATGTTAATCCAGTTTTTATCTGCAACTAACTGCCTCTGAGGGACCAGAACTAAGATATAAGAGCAATGTCCTCTCAGTCATTCCTCTTCCCACCCTCCAGTATTCAAAGGGATTCCGCTTGAGGGGGAAACAGACCAAGGAAATTAGTGCTATTCTAATTGCTTTTACTCAAGAAATCTATACACTGTTGAGGCACAAAGCCTCTAACAAAAGGGAAGATTAGAAATAGATGTAGAGACCTCACATCAAATATGTACTGAAGCCACAAATCAAAACTGGAATGAAAACCCATAGTCATGTTACTCAGAAATAAGCTTCTATGGATCTTACTCCAAAAATTAGTGTGTGCAGAGATGCAGTCCAAGTGTTCTTTGTAAAGTGTAGCAAAAGGTCAGAATGTATACTAGCTGTTATAGTATCATACATGAAACCCCAGAAGAAGTATACACAGCAGGTCAAATTACGAGTAAATGCTTCCAAATGCTATATAAACCTTGATAGTGGTTCTTACGACCTCAGATCAAGGGGATTATCCATTAGTAGTTTTAAAAAGAACCTGCTGTGCTTTAGCAAGGTATAGTATAGAGTTCTGTACTGTGATGTCTGACCTCGCACAGTAGTAGGGGTAGAATCTCTATTCAGAACCACAGTTGCAGTGTTGTCTATGTATAGCAGTATTCTCTCGTATGCTGACAGTTCGATTAAAATTCACAGAGAGCTGAGAGGCTCATGCTGAAGCAAAGAGCTTTCAATTCTGAAACCCCGCAGTAAATTACTTCTCCAACTGAGCAACCATACTTACATCAATATCTTCTTGGGTAAAAGTTTCTGGATCTTCTCCCATCATGTTGGCTAAATGTCTCTTTCCTATGTTGAACTCTTCAACCTCTTTTTTGAAAAAAGCTTCTGTGTATCTTTTAGGACCAGAAGCAACATTTTTTTCCTGTGCTGCTGTAGTTGTACAGATTAGTCTTATTGTCTAGGGATCAAAAACACAAAACAGTAATTAGACAAAGTGATATTAAAGGAAAGCATGCATGCTGTTTGAAGGCGCATAACATAGCAAATCATTGAGGATAAGCAGGTGTAAGTCACAGCACTGTGTGGCAGCCCTATGTATGCTACCCGGACTTTCATAATAGGAGAAAGATAGGATGTAGTAAACAACCCTCCCATCTACCCACAGAAAGCAATTCTTGTCCATTTAACAGAAATGATGTAGCTAGCAATATGGATGTCCTTACAGTTTTAGGGAGCCATTGTGACATACAATTCAAATGTTAGGCTTAGAAATCAGGGAAATTTGGCTTCAGACATGACCATCCAGAATATCACAAAACAGTGATCAAGCTTGCAGTTTCCTCAAACTCTTCATCCAGCTGGATTTATGAAAAGTGGGGGGAAAGGAAACAGGGAAGAAGGCTTGATGATGTAACCATAAAATTGTAATCAAGACACAGTCTGGAGGAGATTGCTGACACGATTCAATTAGTCTCTGTTAGATGCCACATGTCTCTACTTACACCTGGGATTCTTTTTTTAAAAAAGCCTGAACCACGTTTTTAAAAATATATGGACCATATTCAGGAGCTCTTCTAAATCCAATGGCCTCCCAAAGGCCCACATGTCCCCCACCCTTGCTTCTCTATACTCCCAGCAAACAAGGAAATGGTGCATCCACATTCAAAACAAAACAAAACACAAAGAAAATAAAACTGTTGTGGCTGTTGCTTTTCAATATGAGCTTTCATGGATACACCCACTTCTTCAATCTGCTGAGGACCCTTGAGGATCTTTTCTAATCCCTTCAAGTTGCCTTTCGATTTGTCAGTCTCCTTCTGATTTCTTGGTTGCAGGCTCTATTTGGATTGATGGCTGAACCAAGGTATAGAAAATCTCTAACAATTCAATTTATTCATTGTCAGTCTCAAAATTATGCAAGTCTTCTACATAATTATTTTTTTCTTTTCAGCTGTAACCCCATGTTTGC